CTTTTGTCAGAGTATTTTACCACTGCAATAGGGAGAGAAGCCGGGGCATCACCTGAGGAGGAAGGGTACCTGAAGGTGTCATCTGCCTCCCCTAACACACCTGCACACTAACATGTGTCTGAACACACAGAAGCACGTGTACACTCACAGACATGCACACCCCCTCACACACATAGAGATATCAGTAAAAGAGAACATCGGAATGGAGAGAGAGAGAGAGAGAGAGAGAGAGAGAGAGAGAGAGAGAGAGAGAGCCACGTGTGTGCACATTTGGACTGGTAAGCCACAAGGGGACATAGAGGCCAGGTGCCCCCTGCTTTTCTCAAGCTGAACACTTTGAATGTCTCTCTAGAGTGGGATTGCTCTTTCAGAGTGATTGGCAGCAAGGGCTCACTGGTCAGGTATCATTTAAAAGGTGTTGCTGTGAAAGCAAAGGGGTGAGCCCCCCCCCCCCCCGGCCATTTGGAGAGAGGGCAGCACAAGCCTGGGAAGCAACAAGAGCAAAGTCCAGGGGCAGGCCTGCATGTAGCATGGCTGAAAGGGGCAGGCAGGTCAGCGCTGTGCTTGGAACTCTGATCAAAGGCACTCGCCCTTTGAGGTGTAAGAACCTACCTCTGGTGGCCCCGAAGGGCAGATCCACCGGCTCTCTCTTGTTCTAAGCAGAGTAACAAAACATGGCTCGAGTTAGAGTTTATCACTCTGCGTCTGAATGGTCCTAAATGATTCTAAATCTTCATCCAATTCAAAGATCAATGACCCAGCCCCCCAGAGGCAGGTTTCTCTGTGGTTACATGCTCATGCACTTTATGGCAGACACATTAAAGACATCGTCGAAGAAAACGACTCCCACTTTTGCTTTTGCAAATATCTATCACCAAGTACTCCTTTGATCCCAGCCTGCTTCCTCCTCCTAGGGGCTTTCGACGCACATTTAGAGCGCCCTCTACTGTCCAGTGCTATTCAGCATCCTGCTGGGAGCCCACTCAGGATGTGAGAACCTCAAGCTCCTTGTAGCAGGAACAGTCCTAGTTACAAAAGATGCCTATCTTTTCTCACGCACTCTCTTTCTGTCCCAGACTAGCCTACATTTACCAGTTTTATTGTTTAAAAATCCTGTCTCCTGTGGTCTCTTAACCTCTATTTTCTCCGGCTTGCATCTGGCTCCCAACCAACATAGCGGTATTTCCATCATAGTGTCTGTGCTTGGAGAAGCTTCTCGGTCTCTCCAAGTCTCCAGCTCTCTTTTCCTAGGGAATGGGTGGACACTGGCAGGAAAGAGGAGGTGTTTTAACCCCAACACAACTATCCCAGGGCTCGGAAGCTAGGAGCCCAAACTGTGTGGGTTTGGGCCTTGGCACAGAGAAGCTAAAAGTGCTGGCTGCCCCAAAACTAGACAGGCCTGAGCACCACCCCTTCTTAGGCCCTTTCTCCTAAGGGAATGAAAGAACATTTTAAGGAGTAATTTAGAAGGCCTGTGTGAGGTTTGCACTAAATTCACAAATCAAAGTTGTCAGTATGATAGTAAGGCCTTCAGAAGGTGATAGGATTTAGATGAAGTCATGGGAGCAAGAAGCAGGAGATGGGTCTGCACCTTGCCTCCCTCTTCCATTCCCTCCCTCCCTCCTTCCCTCCCTCCCTTCCTTTCTGTGGAAGTAGGGTCTCCTGTATACCAGACTAGCCTCAAACTTGTTATGTATCCAAGAATGACCTTGAACTTGCCATTCTTGAACCCCCATCTTTTCGTGAGTGCTGGAATACAGGTGTACCACCATGTCCAGTTTTCACGGTGCTGGGAACTGAACCCAGGATTTCATGCTTGCTAGGTAAACCTTCTACCAACAAGCTAAGATGAGGAAGAGCAAGGTATGATGGCTCAAGCCTGTAATCCCCGCACATGGAGACTGAGGCCGGAGATTGGCAAGTTTTGAAGTCAACTTGGGCTACACAGCAAAACCCTGTCCCAGCAAAGAGGAGACCACAGGTTATCCGTGTCAAGAGGAGTCTCACTAGAAACCAAATCAGCTAGGACCTTGATCTCGAACTTCCTGGGCCCCAGAACTGTGAGAAATAAGTATCTGCTGCTAGAGCCACACTGTCTGTTCAGTTCATCATGGTTGCCAAGCTGACCAAGACCTTCCTTCTCGGACCTCCCTCTTTCTATGGGAGATAATAAATCACATCGATTGCATCCTTTCTTCTCCATCTTTCGGCAGACCAACATGGAAGAGACTACGCCTCACAATTCACTAGAAGACTTGTTTTAGGGCTTGAGTGGGAAATGTCTACACCTCTGTACTGCACATGCACTTGGTCCCCAGCTGGTGGCGCTGTTTTGAGAGGTAAAACCTTTGCAACTGTAGTGTCTTGCTGGGGGTAGGGATGGGGATGAGGGCAGGGGTGGGCTTGAAGGTGATATCCCAGGAAAGCCCCACCCCCTGATAGCCAGTCTACCACCTGTGAACAGGACATAACACAAGCTCCCATTGCTACAGAGACAGTCCTCTCAGCCACCATCTCAGCCATGATGGATTGTTCTCCCTAATACTATAAGCTAAAATAAGCCTCTCCTTTCTTAAGTTGCATCTAGCAGGCATTTTGTCAAGGTGATGAGAAAATTTACTAATATATCTATATTTCACGGCAAGACGTTTTCTCGGTTCCTGTAGGTGGAGAAAATGATGCTCTTCTGAAGGTCCCTGCTCTGGTGAGGGGGGCAGTCTGCCCAGCCCTATCTATAGCACCCTGAGTTCTGATGGAGACAGAACTATCTACCAGGAAGGGCATACTGAAACTTGTGTTGGGAAGGATACACAGTGTCTGTACTTTTGCTTTGAAAATCCATAGCTTGGGAACCCCTTCAGCCCTGACTCTTCTCTGTTCTCCTTCCTTTCTCTTATGAATTGGGTGCTGTCTGGGTATTTGGCTCACTGTTTCTGCTTTCTCGACTCCAACTAAGCAGCCATGGGAGTGGGCATCACAGCTGTGGGTGGAACCCTGCAACTTGAGCAGCAGCCATCAAAGGTGGCAGTGGAAGCTTCTGTCTGTGCCTCCAGGGTGTCCCCACTGGTCCCTGACACCACTCAGTGCTGGTGGAACACACAGGCTGATCCTGTAATTGAACACTCTGTTCTAGCTCCGGTTACACTAGAGATTGAAATAGAAAGAAAAAAAAAAAGAATTACACAGTAACAACTTCAAAAAGCTGACTCTGCCTGACCCATCCTGAGCTCTGTGCCCGTGAAAGGAGGCAGAGGCTGGGTTTGGTGTCCAAGGCTGGCCATAAAGGAAAAGGTGACCTGTGGTAGCTATCCTCTTCCTCCTGGACACAGTGATGTGACCCCCTCCTCTGCTAGAAAGTCTCCCCAGCAAATAACACCCTCTCACTAACCATGTATGGTGGAGAGGTAGTCTTGTGTTCCATGGATGTTTTCCTAAAAGAAAGGCACACATGTGTACAATTGTGTGGAGGCCAGAGGGCAGCCTCAGCTGTCCACCCTCAGGTGCTGTCCACGTGGTTTTTTTAAAGATAAGCTCCCCAGAGATCCACCTGTCTTCATCTCCCTAGTGCTGGGCTTACATGTGAGCACCACCTGCCTGGCCCCCGGGCAGGTTCCCGGGAGGGTATTGAACTCAGGTCCTCATGGTTGCAAGGCAAATGCTTTACCCACTGAGCTATCTTCCTAGCCCCCTTTACTATTCCAGGGCCACCAAGAACGAGGGCGTGGTATCTATAAGTAACTTTCCCAGAAACAAGTTCCTCTCAAAGGGACAGGCTTCCCACAGCAACACTGATACGAAGCAAAACCGAGTTTGCATAAGCTGGGGCCCCCAAAGCCTGAGTCCTCTCTCTGTTCCGGATCGATGGAGGCAGATTGCCTGAGAGCTTCAGGAGAGGGCCTCCTCTTAACCATGCAGGCATGGAAGACTGCCAACAAAGGCCAGAGAACACGCTCCCTTTTCTTTTTGGCCTATCCTGGGCATAAGGCTTCTAGATTTGCAGGTATCCGCCTGGTTATGCAAAAGGTCTGCTCTTAGGATGAGCACAAATGCTATCAGGGGCTGGAGCAGCAGTCAGCTCAGAGCCTTGCAGTTATGAGTCTGGGCTCTGGACCCAAATGGAGGAATCCACCAAGGTTGCAGACGCTGGTACCCACATGAACTCCAGCCCAAGGGCACAGACAGCCTCTCAGCTGCTCGCTTGCTGGTTAAGAAGCCTTTGCTGCAAAACTGACTCTCAGGCCCCCTCTGCGAGCAAGCTGAGTAACAACACCCTAAAGAACAGCTGTTCCTGATGGGCTGGGCAGGGCCTGAGCTCTCAACTGTGCAGTTCAGAGTCTGGGGGGATGGGAGGGGCCTGGCCACCCAGCCGGGGAATAGATCTGCTACATCTAGCCTGCCTGTCCCCAAAGTCACTCTTCAGTCAAAAATCAGCCAGACAGCAAGCCTTGGTCCTGGACTGAGCACAGACAGGCAGGGAGAAAGAGGCAAAAACACTGTTTGAAGTGGACGAATGAAAAGCAGAAGAAAGGCAGGCTAGTTTTTCATCTGTTTTCACTAAATGCTCACAGCTGTTCTTCCAAGGCAGGTGAGGAGAAACCGGGAGAGCAATGAGATCTGTGCAGTGGCTGTGTCCATTCCACGGCGATGACAAGAGGCACCCTGGGACTGAAGGGGATGGGGCAGAGCCCTCCGAGTCAGTAAGCTACCTGAAGGGCAAAGATCAGAAAAGGAAGACAACGGGGTGTGGCTCAGAAGAGTGGGCCCCGGAGGAGTGAGGGGGAAAGCTGGCAAAGGTGAAGGGTCTCCCTCCTTCCTTTTCCAGCCGAAATACCAAGATTGAACGGCTGATTTCTTCCAGCAGGCTCAGTGCCAGGGACTACAGTCTTTTAGGGAACCCACGGAAATGTTTTAATTTCTTTTAAAATCAGGGGAAAAATTAAATGAACTTTTAAATGAAAGAAAATGTTTTAATATGTAGTATATATTTGTTTTTATGCCAACACAGCCGCAAAATATTACTTTTAATATTTTTAATGGAGGAATGAGCCCACGGAGGTAGAGGCGCCTGTTGCCTGTTGAGCGCACCGGTTAAAGGGGTCTAAACAGCTCCTGGCCTTGCCACACTGGAAGGTACATTCTGCTCCCTTCCCTGGGCCACAAGGGAGGACCTCTCTGTCTCTCTCTCCGTTGTGTCTCCGGGCTGATGTGCCTTTAAAGGGGGAGCTGGGAAGAAGAAAGAAACAAAGAGTGCACGAGTTTGGCACCAACTTCACTTTCTCGGCCTTCTGCGAGTCCCAGGCTTCTCCTTTATCTTGCTCTCCTCCCTGAGCGGTTCCAGACTTTCATTTAAGAGTCTGACCTGGGAAGGAAAAACTGGAATCAACCGGCTAACACACACATACCCTTCCCAAACTGTCCTGCCCTGTCAAGTCCAGAGGGGTGTTGGGGACTCCGGCCTATGGAAGACCTGGATGAGGCAGGCCTTCGAGGGAGGGAGAGGGAGGGCTGAACCTGGAAGACAAGGCCGGAGAGAGAGCAGCACGTTCGCCGCCCGCACTACTGCCCTCCGGTGGGTCCCGGAGACGCCGGGAGCCCGCGGCCGTGCACACGGATTGGGTTTCTGCGGGGCTCGCTCCCGGGCCTGGCTCGGAGCCGCCGCCGCCCCCTCCCTGCGCGCAGGCTGCGCTCCAGTCGCGGCCACGGGGTAGCGCTCGGCCCCCCTCTCCGCGTCTCCGCCTCCGCCGCGCTCGTCCCCGGCTCCCGCTGCCCCCGCAGCTCCGGCTCGGCGCAGGCAGACTCTCAGGCTCGGCGGCAGAGCGGCTCTTAGGACGCTGAGCCCCGGCAGCCCAGGGCTCCGGGCTCCGCGAGCCAGCGGCTCCCGAGGTGGGCGAGCGGCAGGCGCGACCGAGGCGCCCGAGAGGCCGCGGAGACTCGGGTCCCCGCGCTGGGCGAAAACGCCGGGCGGCCGAGGCGGCGCCGAAATCCCGGAACCTGGGGCTGCCGGCCGAGCTCTTCCCGTGCGGCTCGCGCGGAGCTCCAGCCGGGGCGCGGTGGAGAGCAGGACCCGCTGGTCTCCTCCACCGGATCGCCCGCAAGAGGCTCCGCGCCCCGGGCGCTAGCTAGAACCCTGGCCGCCCAGCCGGGCACCCGAGCCGGGCATCCATCGCCACCCGCAGCTGGCGCAGACATGGGCGCACGGGGCTGCGCGTCGGGCCGCGGGACCCGCAAAGTTTGCTAGCCAGGGGGGCGCAGAGCTGAGGGCGAGCCCGGCACCGAAGCCCCCGGGGAGGTAACCCCGAAATCTTCGAATTGGGCGCGAGGACCGCGGAGCTGAAAAGGGTGGCTCGGCCCTGCCAGGTGCTGCCTGCAAAGTTAGAAGAGAAGAAAACTTCGACTCCAGGGAGACTCGGACCGTTATGCTAACAGCGCCCCCACCCCCCGAACCCTGCGCCCCCTCTGAAAGACACCCGGCACCCGCGCTTGCCGCTGCGCTCCGCTTGCATCCAGTCCCAGGGGCCGGGCGTCTAGAACCACAGTGACTACGTCGGCCCGGGAGAACCCAACCAGGGGGCGGGGAGGGGCGGGAGGCGGGCAACGTGGCCATCGGGAGGAAGTTTCCTGAAGTTGTCCTCTCATTCGGGAGCTCGGCCAGCAACCGAGCCGGATCGCAGGGGTCGCTCTGCCTGCGAGAAATAGTCGGAGTCGGGGTACTAAGGGATATAGATGCCCTGAGTTTGAAAGGAGACTTGGCCCCTTTCTGCTCTTCCCTCTCCTTGCGGAGCAGCAAGCACAGAAAGAGGAAGAAGCATTTGGGGTCGCCGGCGGGCCCCTCGGGCCATAGCGTCCTGGACTCGGCCACACAGTCTCCCGGGACGAAGGCGCGGGGTACCGGGACCCCACAGGATTATAAAGCAAGTCGCAAGGAGGGTGCACCGTAGAGGACCCCTCCACCAGGATGGCCAGCATGTGGAGGCTGCCGATCTGGACTCTACTGGCCCTGCATCGGATCCACTCGGCCGGAGCCCAAGGTACAGTATGGGCGACTCTCTCCACGTGGGACCGGGAAACGGGTTCGGATGGGCGGGAAAGGAGTACCCCCTAAGATACCGCGCTTAGCCCAGGCTGAACCATCTCCTGGGAGTCTCAAAGCTCTCCCCTTCTTCGACTTTTGGGGCTTTCTTTGGGGTGGGGCAGTGTCCGCGAGACTTCTGGCCTTTCTGGATGGAGATGGTGAGATCTCCGGGGGAGGTGGAGAATCTCCTAAGCACCTAAAGTGCAGTAGGTGGGCCTTCGTGGGTGCCCTCTGGCCGGGAAAGGAGGGGCGCGTCATGTCTTGGCTCCACTGAACTCCCTAGGCTCCGGGTCCTGCTTGGGGTCCTAAGTGAAGGGCAAGGCTGTGTCAGGCAGGCAATGGGTGCCCCAGGGCGAGAAGATGGGGCAGGCAGAAGCAAGGAAGAAGCCGTAATGGGGTTCAGGGTGCCCGCTTGGTTTCCCCTCAGGAACAGTCACTCTGCTTGGCCACGTACGGGAGCCCGCTCCTGGCTGCCTGGCCGGGCGCTGGAGCTGGAGTGGGTTGGCGGCATGGGCCTGGAGCCGAGCAGCAGGGACAGCGGCAGACCTAACCCACCCTCCAGACACACCCAGCGGGCAGTCCCAGGCTCCGGCTTCCACAGCTCGCTGGCTGGATGTCTGTCCACTGCTGCTTTGATCTGTAGCCGCCCAGAGCGGCCAGCCTGGCGGTGAAGGGCCAGTGGGTGTGGAGGGGGTGTGTTGGAAAGGAGGTGTGATGGGGTTGTCTCTCCCTGCCTCCTGCAGCGGATGCTCGGCTGTCTCCCGGGTCCCCTGGAGGGTCCTGGCAGGTTAGGGCAGCTGCACCGGAGCTTTCTTCTTGCGTTTGGGGTTCGAGGATCCAGGTGGTGGTGGTGGCAGTGGCTGAGCGGCGCCTGCTGGGGGCAGAGAGAGAAGGAGTCTGGACTGAATCCCCAGACTCGCCGGTTTGGCCTTAGATTTCTTTGGGTTTTCCAGGCTCAGAGGGAAGCCAGACCTACCCAAGAACCAGGTTGGGAGGGACTGGGATGAAGGCGCTGCAATCCCCCTACAGACCCCTTCTCCACCTCTGGGGTCCTAGAGCCTCGGAAATCAGGGACCCCATCGTGTCCCAAGTCAGGCAATCCTCAAAGCCAAGATGGGAGATAAAAATTACCGGTTGTCACTCACAGGGTCGAGGGGAAGACTTTAAAGACTTTACACGGTAATTTAGGTAAAAGCACTTGGAAATTTTCTAACGAGCTCCATAAATGTAAAGGCAATAAAAGTTATTATTTTTATAGTCACTGTAAAACCTTCCAGTAGGCAGGGACCTCGGAGGTCATCGCATTCTAGTAGCCATTTAACAGATGGGGAAACTGAGGCCCTTTGCAAGGAACTGACTTGCCCAAGACCACACTGATATGTAGGGTAGGAGTCCTGAGCCCCTCTTTCTGCTACCAAGACCCTCTGTAGCTGGGGCCTCTTGTCTAGGATGGGATTTTGTGGAGACCCAGGACCGTGGCCCGGACAGAGTGGGAATGGGCTGTCCTCCACTCTGGGTGCCTGTCGAGTTTGTTCTGAGATGGTCATAGGGAGGTTTCAAAGGGGTAGCAACTTGTGGGGAACCTTTTCGCCCCACTTCCATGCAGACCCAACAGCTGTGTACCTGGACTTGGGAGGGGCGGGGGACTCACGAATTGGTCGCCCATCTAGGACCAAGCCCTCATGGAGTCTCCAGGGCACCTTCTTCCCGTGTCTTCATGCCCCACCCACTTCCACACCGGCCTATCCTCCTGAGGCCAAGATGCCAGTGTCTACTGAAGTTCTGGCCTCCCATCCCTGTGTGTTTCTCCATCCTCCTGACAGGATCGGAGAAGCCCTTTCCTGGCTGTTTCTCTGTCTTACTGGGGGGCTGCCCGGGCCCCCTCTGCTCTGATTATGTTCTCTGGCTCTGAGGATGTTTGTTTGCCAGCACTGACCCCCCCTTCCATTTGTCTCCCTGCAGAGGATTATGGGAAGACAATCTCTGGATTCCACCTTGAAGGTGATGCTGGGTTTGCTGTCTGAGGGGTGAGGTTAGGGCACAGGTCATTCTTTTTTTTTTTTTTAAATCTGCTTTGGGGTTAGAGTTTCTCTGCCTCTGAGGCCCTGCCATTGATCCTTTGAGTATAGTTAAAACCGCCAGCACTACCATTCTGCAGACCTGACACACACAGGAGACACCCAGCAGCTGCTCCTCCTTTGAGACCAGTGCTCAGTGGTCACTACATTGGGATGCTATGGAGATTTTTTTTTCCTAGTTCTTTTTCCAGGTGCAGGACTAAAGCTACATTACCTGGATGTACTGAAAACTATCATTTGGCCATTTGGCCCAAATGGGTCTTACATGATTTCTGCTCATTTCCCAGACAAAATGCAATGATAGCACAGAAAATATTCTCTCCCAAACTAGGAAGAAAGGTTTCTCATGATCTGGTGAAGGCAGCTACAGAGATGTTTCTGCAAGACTCTCAGCCACTGGAAGCCTTGTCTCCTCATCTGTACCTTGGGAGCATTATGTCCGTCTTTGCAGACTTGGCATGGCTAGAAGCCCCAGGGAGAGGCCCCAGCAAGCCCTTCATTCTCAGGCGCTACAGACTTTTTTCTGTGACTACCTTAGTGTTTCCTGGAGTGGTCCTCCACGCTCTGAGCTCCCGGGAGCTAGTCACATACTGAGATTTCCACCAATCCTCAGGAGCTGGCGTTGGAAGGCCCTGGTGAACCTGACAGTCAGTGTTTTTGGAGACTTTTCATATGCTTGTGAGCTTGATCATTGCTAGAAGGCATCCTGGCCTGCGCGCACAAGCAGTGGGGAAGAGGGCAGGAGCCGCCCAGCCAGCCATTCCAGGAGGTTCTTTTTCAAGAGAATTGCACCTGGGGCGGGGGAACAAGAGGACACTGCAGGCTGAATGAACCAGACAGTGGGAGAACCCTGATGGAGGCCTGGAAATGCCAATCCGGAAGCTCCTGGAGGGCCCCAAAGGGGGAAAGTTTAGTGCTGGGAGGCTAATCACGATAAAAGCCAAGCAGCACACGGGGGAATGGGATGAAAGTTTAATTACATGGTGTGGCTAAGCTGTAATTATTAATTACTGACAGCAAAAAATAACTTATTGATCAGGGCCTCTTGCTAATTACCAGGAGGGCTTGTGTCATGCTTGCCCGGGGCTCAGCTGTCAAAAGCTCCACAGGGACATGAGCGTAGGGTGGGAAATGGCCCTGCTTCTCCCTGTCCCCTTCTCCTCTCCCCCTGGGTACCTCTCGATGTCAGCTGGGGGATCTGGAACATTGTTGGTATGGTGAGATGAGGGATGGCGTTTGGGCCTTGCTACCGCTGGCTAAAGAAGTTCCCCCTTTGTGGGGTGGGGTCCACTTGGGACCCAAAGCCAGAGACCAAATCAGGCAGGCAGCTTGCACCTGCTGTGGGAACACTCTCCTGCACTTATTCGGCAAATACTTATCGACCGCCTCTCCCCTACGTCCTCTACTGGAAGGCTGGAGTAGGGGCCAGGATCCTCATTCCATCATGGAAAGGGGGCCGGGAAGGAGGCCAAATCCTTTACAGCAGACCTGAGTTTAAGTGGGACCTTCAGTTTAAGATGGTGTGTTAAAACTGCATATTGTAATGCGTTTGACCTTGTTTCCTAGGACACGGTCCAGCTGTAAGCTAAAGGGGAGGGAGAATGGACTTGTTTCCTGGCTTAGGGGTTCAGAGAACACCTGGAGAGTTATCTGAAGCTGCCCTGCAAATCCAGGACCAGTGCTCGTGTGGCCAGCTTTCATACCCTCAGCGATAGAGGGCTCACTACCTTATTCCAGCTGGCTGTTAGACGTCGCCTCATGTTGATGAAGGGACTGGCCTGTGCGTTGTTGGCTATTCTAGAATTTAATGGGCTCCCTGCTTGTCGGGAAGCCTATTTCCTGACTCCCGGCCCCTTGGGGAGTGGGGAGCTGGAGACACTGGGTCTCTGAGCTGCTGTGGGTTGTCCACTTTGGCTATCCCATCCCCAGCACATTGCAGCAAAGGCCCCTAGAGCTCCCTAAGTGGTAAGAATTAGTCATTGTAATTTGGGGCCTTGGGATGCCAATAGCAACAAATGGGTCAGCAGCGGAGCGGTCTACTGCCTATAATGGAAAGGAAAACAAGCCGGTTGCCGCCGAGCCATCCCTGGTTACATACCGTTTACCAGCCCCTGCTGTCCATATGCTGGGGAGAGGCAGAGCCAGGGAGCCTCGCTGGATGAAAGAGCGTCAGGACTTCCCAAAACCCCTCCCCAGAAGGGAGTGGGAAAACTGGCAGTTCTCTGGGCACACTCAGGGAAGGGAGTGTGAACCAGGCTATGACTGAGCCAGGAGCCTGGCACAGCCCTCCTGATGTCAGGGAGTCCCCAGCTTGGGTCTGCCCCTGTCGGCTCCCACCTCCATCACAATGTGA